AGACTGAAGCAGGAACACCTCTGGCAGCATAAGAGGTAGACCCCACCTGGGGTGAGGTGGGGTGCAGCACAGAGGCTTCCCAGAGAAGTCCAACTGAGTCTCAAAAGATGATCAAGTGTTTGCAAAACACAAAGGTAGGAGAGGGGTGACAGATAGCTTACATAATAAGGATCTGCACTCTTTAAATTGAGAAACCCCTTGGAGAGCCATGAGCTTAGAGCTGGGTACTGGAGACATTCAGGGGAGCCAGGTGACCTGTTTCAGATGTAACAGAAGGGAGTATCTTCCTAGGGAGTTGAGAGCTCACCATTAAGGACTTTTTCCACATAGAGCATCTCTAATTTTGTCAAATCAAAGGCAGGCCTGCACCAGAGAAGAGCAGTGGGCTCCCTAGGCCCCAGTGGGCCAGGCCTTCTCTCCCACAACACTATTTCCACTGTCTTACCTTGAGTGATGAGGCCCCCACCAGCCACATGGCACCAACCAGCACCAGCCCCATGATCATCCACCCCCCCACACCCTACTTTTCCTGACCCAAGTCCTATTGACAGATCTCCCAGAATCTGAAGGAATTCAAGACAAATGGTTAAGAGGATGGAGTTAATAAAATTTGAAAAATTGAGGCCTGTCACTCCACTAAACTTTTTTCAATACCACTGACAGAAACATATTTCCCCAATGAGTGACCTTCCACAGCTGTAGCGGGCAGGCGCAGCCGCAGCAGTGCTGCCAGGAAGCCAGTCTGCTATTTATCAGATATTATAAGCTGGGACACACTAATCTGGAGCAGGAGAGGAGGGGAGGGTCCTGCACCACACTGCCTGGGGTGCTCCAGGTGTTTGCCCCAGCCTCAGACAGCCAGTGGGAGGTGACGGATGGCCTGCGATTAGCACTTCCCACCTCCGTCCAGCCCTCTCACTTGCTCCCAGAGGCCTGGCCCTCTAGACCAGCTGCTTGGCCCGGAGGGGCCCTGGGTGGGAGGCAACGGGAGGTCAGGCCAGGGCACGGGCCATCCTGATGCCCCCGGAGAGGGCAGGCGGGTGAGACCCAACATGGTTATTTATTGTAATGTAATGGTTTGTGGCCGGTGGTCGTGGGGGTGAAATCGATCAGTGGTAGAAGTCAGGTTCTATCAATTATTACAGCAATTAGTCAAGTCAGCGAGGGCGTGGGGCTGGGGGAGTAATATTAGGTGGACATTAYCCATGGTGCCCCTGCCGCAGCCTTCCTAAAGTGGGGAAGACCTGCTGCCCTCAGGCTCCAGAACCTTGGGGAGCCTGGCTGGCATCCCCCAATGAGTGGCCTGACCTGAGAGCCTCCTGGGCAAGGGACAGTCCCAACACTGCTTTAAAAGGAGCCCCTGTGCTGGCTGGCCCAGGTGCAGAGATGTCCTACCTGTCCCCTTCCCATCCTTTATGAGAAGTGACACGACTCCTACTAGAAATTACTCAGTGGCCAATGTTTATGGCACACATTTTTCATTCTGTAAGCAAATATAGATCACTGACAGCACTTGTTTGGAGCAGCTAATCTCACCCTCTGTTCTTTCTCTCACTGTCGTCTTCTCTCACCTTCTCTCCTCTCCCCCTCCCCTTCTCTCTCCCATTTCTTCCTCTCCTTTTTTTCCCCTGTCTTCCTGCATGTTTTTCTTCCCTTCTCTATTTTCTTTCTCCCTTCTCTAATTTCTTTTTCTTCTAGAGGTCTCTCCCTGATCCCCCTCCACATAGCCCATATCTAGTTGACAGAGCTTTTCTTGAGGCTGCCAGAGAAAGAAGAGGCCTTTTCATCACTTAATTGGGGCTCCCTCTGCCCCACCTGTGCTGCAGGAGCTTTGTGGGGAGGGGAAGATGCTGCCTCACACTAGCCCTCTTCCCTTGGTGCCCAAGGAATAGAGATGGACTGGGAAAGCCATGCCAGGCAAGCAAGTCCCTGAGCACTGTGTTCCTCCCTGAGCCCTGACRGTGCTGTCTGTCCCTCCTTTAGCACACCATCAACCCTTGGCCTGTGTTACTGTTGTGTGCTAATCTGAGCTGAAGTTGTGCTGGGCTCAAACTTGAGGTAGACATAGTTCTAAAGACAGGAAGAAAAGCCTTCAAAAGAGGCAAGAGGCCTGGCCACAGGTGTGCAGAGAAGACCTGAAAAGTGGTTTTATAGACCTCAAAGGTCTATTAAAGATATCAGTTGCTGCAGAGCAGTGGAGATATATAGACTGTTGTTTGGCCCTGCTAGTCCTACGTCATCCCACGTACAGAGCCTCGCAGATAGTGCTGGCAGATCTGAAAGAAACATGAAGTCTCAATGGAGCTTGTGAAGAATTACTCATTGATTAGTAAGACTACTCCTCACTGAGGAGGCTGTGCTTCATCCCATAGGCAGTCAAAGACTGCTGAAGGATTTTTCAGCAGGKGTGTGTCACAGCCTCCCTGTGAAAGCATGTAGTTAGGAAAATCTGAAGATGGGTTGGACTCCTGCTTCAAACAAATAAAGCTAGCTTTGTGTCCTTGGGCTAGTCATTTCAGTTCTCTGGGTCACTAGTGTCAATGTCTGTAGGTTAGGTATTCTAATTCCTGTCTCTCAAGGTGGCTGTGAGGATGAAGTGATAAAATGTAAATAAAGTGCAGAGTACAGTGCCTGGCACATTGGCACATAGTGAGTACTCGGTAAATACCAGTGTGGCTGTTATCACCACTCCTAGGTATCTACTTAGGAGACATGAAAACTTATATCCAGAGGCAGGAGTGGTAGTACACACCTGTAGTCCCAGCTACTCAGGAAGCTGAGGTGGTAGAATTGCTTGAGCCCTGGAGTTCTAGGCCAATCTGGACAACACAGTAAGACACCCCCCCATCTCAAAAAAAAAAAAAAAAAAAGACTTGTATTCTATATAAACTTCATAACAGACAAAAAGGAAAAGTAGTAGTCCAAATGTCCTTCAGCCAATAGATAAATAAAGTGTAATTTATTAATAAAATAGAATATTGTTCAGCCATACTATAACATGAAGAATTTCAAAAACACGCTAAGAGAAAGAAGCCAGAAACACACACAAAAACACATATTAAGCACTCCCATTTGTGTAAAATATGGCAAATCTATAGAGAAAGTAAACCATCAATTGTCAGGGCTAGAGGGAATGGGGTGTGTCTGGTCATGAGTATGGGGTTTCTTTTTAGGATCATGAAAATGTTCTGGAATTAGATCGTGATGATCATTGTGCAACCTTGCGAGTATTTAACACCACGAGTTGTGTTGTTTTTTTGTTTGGTTTTTGATGTTGTTTGGGGCCTTTGGACAGTACTGGGTACCACCTTCTCTTTATTTTGAGACAAGGTCTCACTAAGTTGCTGGCCTCAAACTTGCAATCCTCCCACCTCAGCCTTCCATGTTGCTGGGATTACAGGCTTGCACCACATAACTGGCTCTCACTTGTGTATTTTTAAAGGTTAAGTTTATGGCATGTGAATTATATCAACACAAGTAATATTTTGTATTATATTCCTGATAGAAAATAGGATCATGTATGAAAATACTATTTTTTCTTATTGATAATAAAAGTTTCCTTTGCCTAGATTGTACCTCCTGCTCTGTCTCTTCCACTGCCTCCTCCCACACCTGTGTAGAGGTTGGCCTTTTTCTCTGCAGCCCAGGCAGACAGTCACATGCAAATGCTTAATAAACATTTACTGTTGTTGTCAAGTTTATAGGGTCTTTTAGAAAGCAGAGACTTTCGGTAGGAAGAGGTTCATTTCATGATATAAATGTTTCCACAGACTGGGATTTAGAAAGGCTGATTTTCACTGTCCAACAACAGTGGTCAGAAACCCACCCTGAGCCAAGCCCTGGCTTGAACACATCCCAGCCAACCCATTCTATCCTTAAGGCAAAGATTGGGTCTTAACCCTTCATTATTTCTAGACACTTTTCTAGCAAGAAATAAGTTCAAGGAATATTTATTGGAAATCTGTTATGTACAAAGCTCAGCTTGCTTAGGCTCCCATTTTCCTGCCTTGAGAGAAGGGTTTTGGGGACAAGGACCAAACTGATTCTTCTGGGTTCCCTTGTGGTTTGCCAAATGGAATGGAACGGAATGGGTGGAGTTTGAAGAGGGGAGTGGGGTGCTCAGACCTGGGCTTCAGGAAGGAGACTATGACACTGCCTAAGGTCAAAGGAGCTCTTCCTCCCTAATTGCCAAGCCTTGCTCACAGTAGACCTTTAAACCATCTTATCTTAAGTGCTGCTGGCACTTAGAGAGAAGGTAGATACAAGGCCCCCAGCTAACTTCTTCTTTTTGTCATGCTCAGAGTTCTTTGTCTCCATATCATAGGATCTAATGGTTGGGGAAGTGCCTGCTGGCACACACACATTCACCAGCTTTTAGAGTGGCAGAGCCAGGTTGCTGGTGATGCCCACAACCTTCCAAAGTGCTCAGCTGACCCTGGTGGCAAGAAATGCCCAGAGAAAAGAGTGTTAAAGGAGAAAGAGGAGCAGAGAGCAAGCAGAAGGGAGGGCCTTTTAGTTACTACTAGGAATCTTCTCTGTTGTAGAAAGAAGTCCTTTCATATAGCATTGTGAATGAGTGTTCATCGGTGTAAGGATGTGTTGGAAAATGTAGACATTTTAGTGAATATATATGAATTTGTATGTATCTGTGTTGGGTATGTGAATCTGTATTTGGTTGGTATATTTTGCTAGCATTTTCAGCTAGGTGTATTTGTATACGTACAACACACATCTGCAAGTGTGTAGAACCTCTCCGTATAGGAAGTGTGCTACTAAATGCATGTGTATGCACATGTAGAAGCCTTGATACCCTGACCTCTGACAGAGAGAACTGAGAGTTCTCCGAGAACAGCTTGACATGTTTTTGCCATCATTCTACAATCTCAAAGGTTTCTACGGGCATTCCTCAAGCTGAAATCAGGACCACAAACACCTATAAGCAAAGGCTAAGGTCCCACTGATCATTCATAGAGCCCCTGACTCTATTCTTCTCCTGCCAGGAGCCAACCCCCTGCAGAGGAATGAAATGGGACACACACCCTTGGATTATGCTCGAGAAGGGGAGGTGATGAAACTTCTGAGGACTTCTGAAACCAAGGTAAGTCTCAGAGAAAGGAGGTGGCCTGCTCGTGAGCRCTACATGCATCATTCAGTCTTTCACTAAGTAGACTAGGTCAGGATCCACACCAAAGGCCACTTTTCTTTAGGTGATTATTATGTGTTTAAATGCAAATCCAGCCCCTCTTCATATCAAGAGTAAGGAGCTACCCTGGGAGGTCCTTGACCAGGGAGAGGGAGAGGCCTGGTCCACTTCTGGCTTCTGAGAATTAACTATTTTCAAATTAAATTTTGAGGTGATGTTCTTCCAGCTTCTTTTGAGAGGGGAGGACTAACCAGAAAGAGTCTTGCGCTTGAGGAGTGTTCTCCATACCTCACATACTCACAGCCTCATTTTACATATCTTTCCCATCATCTCACTTTCCAGTACCTCACCCTTCCCATCCACATACACACCAGAGCCTGGTACAGAATCTGAGCCAAAAAAATTCTCTAYCTTAATTCAATCTTCTCACCCAAATTTTTGAACTCCCTGAGAATATGACAGTCTTCTCTTTCTCCCAGCTTTAAAGCTGTAGCTCAGGAATGACTGGACTAAATCCAAGAACTAGAATCGCAGATCTCAGAACTGCCATGGTCCTGAGAAGTCATCAGATCCAGTGATGGGAAATCTTAAAGAGCATAAGCATAAACATAGAAATCAGAGGGAAATTGAGCGTTCTGGTCGAAGGAACCATGGCCCAGTGCTGCCCATGCAGCAGGCCCCTCCCTCCCAGGGAAGCCTCTGACAGGGCTCCACAGTGAGTGTGAGTTTTAAATCTCTGAAATTTAAATCAACTGACTTGTTTTATGCCTGGGGAAAGTGGAGCCCAGGATGTGATATGGCTTGCCTTTGATCCCAGAGTGTTTAGCATCAAAACTGAAACTAGTAGGCTTGACCACAAGTTCAGGTAAGTAGGTTCAGTGACAGACAGGGCCTGGAAGACCTGGTTTCTAGCTCTTTGTCTTGTGCTTTTCCCAGATCATAGGACCTCTTCTCTACACATTGACATAAGTGTCTTGCCATAATTCAGTGTGGCAGATAGACTGTCCTGAGTCAGAAAACTCAGCTCACTAGACTGAGACAGAAGAGACTTGGTTTCTGACCCCAGCTCTACCACTCACTGTCTGCATGGCCTTGGGCTAACATTTTTTTATTATTATTATTTTGAGAAGGGTATCACTAATTGTTCAGGGCCTTGCTAAGTTGCTGGGGCTGGTTTTGAACTCCTCGACATCCTCCTACCTCAGCCTCCCAAGTCTCTGGGATTACAGACATGCACCACCCCAGCTGAACAAAGATATATTTTTACTTTATGCTGCATGTCCATTCTTCTTTTTTTTTAAATCTTCTTGCATTGTCTCACAATGAGACATGTGTCTCACACATGAGCTTTTTTTTTTTTTTTTTGAGAGAGAGAGAGAGAGAGAATTTTTTAATATTTATTTTTTAGTTATCGGCGGATACAACATCTTTGTTTGTATGTGGTGCTGAGGATCGAACCTGGGCCGCACGCATGCCAGGCGAGCGCGCTACTGCTTGAGCCACATCCCCAGCCCTGCATGTCCATTCTTATTGGGGGAAGATGGTGAGCTCTCCTCATCATAGGCACCCAGGGATCCCAAATGGCAAAGCAGCCACCCCTGGAATGTTGCTGTTTGCTTCTACAGGGAAAGGATACTTTAAAGTATCTTAAATGTGTAGTTAAATGCTCAGCCTGGATGTAGAACCCTTTACTTGTCCTCACAGCTCATTGGCTAGAATTAATTCCATGATCGTACCCAATCACAAGAGGCTTAGAAGAGTAATCATACCATGAGCCTAGAAGGGGAAAGCTGGAAATTCTTGGTGAACAACATCAACCATATAGTTTGCCTTCCTGGTGTCCTTAGCAACTATTTTGTAATAATTTCCACTAGAAAAAGGAAGAAGTTTGGAAGAATGACTAGCTTTTYATAACCAATCCAAGGAAGGGACCAGAAAGGACCAGAAAGGGCTGTAAAATTCCAGAGAGTAAGTGCTTTCCTCCCTTGGTTTAGATTTTCCACCCTTAGGAGCAGCCTTGACAGCCAGGTCAGTTCCCCAAGTGCCTTGAGGAAATCCCTGACACTTATAGCTGTGGAGACTGCTCCCCTCCTCATCTCTCCGACTAAACCCAATGTCTGCCTGCCAGAGACAAGCTCCGGACTTGGCCAAGAGTACCCACAGTTTGTCAGGTCATATGACTTAGGGCAGCTACTAATCTGGCCATATGAAGCAAGATAACTGGCCTCTTGGTGCCATCACAGGTGAAGGGAACCAGGTTACTGAAAAATGATTAAATTTTGACTGTTTAAGGGAAGTGGCTTGTTGTTGACCACATTATTACAAAGCTAATGTCCGGAGTGAATACATGATAATTGTAGTCCCCAGTGTGAATCAGACCCTTCTGGAGCAGCAAGGGCAATTAGAGACAGCATGTTCTGAGTAGATGCTAGAGGAGCTGTGCTGTGAAAAAAAAGCTGAAGGCAACAGGGATATATGACCTGGGGGACTGTGGGCCGGCATTTAGGCACAGGAATGGCTCAGGGTAAAAAGAATAGGTTGCACTCAGTGGTAAAGCTAGCCCAGAGTCAGGCTGATTAGGATGCCTCTGCTGGGAGGAGCTCCCTAGGAAGCTGATCCAAAGTGGAGGGGGCTGCTTGGAGGCTGGAAAAGCATGTAGAGCCAGCCAGGGATTCCAAGACCTCTCAGCTGGAAGCCCATTTCATCTGTTGTTACCTATATGTTCTTGATCCCTTCAGCCAGTTGAGACTTTCTTCTTGCTGAATGTCCAGGTGTCCCCTGTGCATCTCCTTCWGGTTGTTCTGCTGTCCTCCCTAGGTTTCTGCCCCTGTGAACTACCCCACCCCCCAGCTCGGTGTGTCAGCAGCTTTCTCCCAGTTGCTCAGCATCTACTTGGTCTCCCATTTTTTCTGCTCAGATTTTTCCACCAAGCTGCAAAARCTTCCTCTTTAAGGCAGGCTGTTGTGGGAGGAACACTGTTTCAGACCTGGGTTCTGTCTCCCTCTGCCAGTTAGTAAGAAGCAGCTGGCCCTCTGTAAGTTCAGGCCCTGCTTCTATAACATAGTGACTCAGGCTTGAAGGCACTGAGGCCTCCTCTCCTGGCTTTGTCTAAACATGAGTTACTGCCGCTCTGATCTTATCAACTCCCCTTCTATCCTCCCTGCACCTCCCTGTTACCCAGCTCAGCTGCCTCCACATTAGCTTACCACTCTCTAGTCAAATTATGTTCATTGTAGAAAATATGTGAGTATTTACGTCATGTCTCATTATAGAAGATTTGGAAATAGAGAAAAGACGAGGAGAATTAAATAATGTAGTACGAATTTATGAATGACATCCATGTGCCAAGTTCTGGGCTAGATGAAAAGAAAACGGATAAGTAAACAACTACTAGAGTCCATAGTCTGTCSGGAGTCAAGCAAGTGAACTGTGACACCACTGATCATTAGTGATATGACTGATCAAGGGAGGTTTCCTGGAAAAGATGGCAGTTGAGCCTAATCTCTAGTAAAAGCATTCTAGCCCTACGACCTACACATAACCACTATCAGTATTTTTATTTATAATAATAGTAGATTTATTAAGCATATCTAAGCATTGTGTCAGATGTTCTAATATACTCTTTCTAATTTTATAACAAATCCACAGAGTAGCTCTTATTACCCCTATTTCACAGGTGGGAAAACTAACGCAACAAGAAAGAAAGCAGATGACTTACAGAAAATCAAGTTGTTACAAAAGTGCCTATTAGGATCTCACACAGAGATCTCATGTACTGTATTATCTCTTTCTGGCCATATCCACATACCTATAGGTAGATGGCCTTTTTGTTTAAACCTGCTGGTAGCCTGCTGTATATCAGAGGTCTCAAGCTGGCAAACATACCTTATTTTGCCAACCTAGAGTTTTCCAAAATTGTGAATTTAAAATCCTGAGAGTTGGGGGTGTGGACTCCGCGGCCACACTCCCTACCGTGTTGTGCCATTGCTTGCCAGGCATTTAGTTTTCTGCTTGGCCCTGAAAGCCTCTGAGTTACAATCCTGATCTATATTTGAAATTTGCTTTTTTTTTTTTAACTTAATAGTATCAGTGATTTTCCCATTTTAAAATTATCCGTAAGCCTCATTTTTAAAAATTCATTCTACCTCTTAAAAATGTGTGTCACTTACACAAGAATCTCTGCACTTACGTGCCCTGAATGGTCTTCCCCTCACCACAGGTTTCCTCAGTTCTCTCAGCAGTCCCTGAGCGTAAGCCTCCCTAGTCCCCCTGAGAAGACCCACAGGTGTGAGAAGCCACCAGTGCTTTCAACTCTGATACCCACAGACTGATTGATGCTTAGGAAGGGTCCCCCCAGAGTTGGGTTCAGGAAAGCGTGGCTCACCCGCCTCCTTGCAGAATGAGCAGGCCAAGCTTTGTAGGGGAGGTAGCCTGGTTCTCACATTGAATGATTTCAATAGATAGTTTACCTCTTGGCGCCCCCACCATTTTCATGTCTTAACTAAGAGATGGAAGAGAGGTAGAAATATATCTCTGTGCACATGATGGCAGATAAAACAAAAATATAGGAAGCTATCCCATGATGAATATTCAGCTAAGGGGGACGTACGCATGCCAGCCGCATCTTCTCTCCTGATCCTCACTCCACCGAGACTCACGAGGAATTTATTGCTCATTTTAATCACACCCAGAGAATGAATTGGCAGGAATATTAGGCAGATAGGCCTATCCTATATATTTTATTTGCATATCCCAGTGACAGAATCACAAGCACGTTTCCTGCCTCTATATTTTTTCATTTGCTTCAGGGGTAGCTGGGGATGTGATGCTCCYCTGGGCCCATATTCCAGGCTGAGAACCTGGGTGCTCCCATCAGAGCTGAGCTAAGTCCTATAGAGGAGGAGGAGGGGTGGGGCACACAGGAGGAAAGGTGGGGGTCATGTCCCTGCCTCACA